TTAACTATCCAGACTGTAATTGACTGCAGAGATATCTTTAACACCTTGGTCATCTCTCCCACTTCATCATCTCTCTCAGTAATTCTGGAAATTTAACTTATATAGATCACAGCCTAAATCCTAAGCCTAAACAAATTACTTACCCAAACCTAGGCCACTGTATAACCTAATCTTGACCTAGTTTTACTTTAGGAAAGATACATTTGTCAAATATTGACTTAATTATCACTGGTAAATCATTATACATTATAGTTTTGTGTATAGTTAGGCCTAGGGTATGGTAATTGTTTTTTCTGTCGACAATTATTTGTATTTACAGTACTGTGTGTGGATAAAGCATTTAGAGAGGTGTGCAAAGTTTGTTAATGCAAAGAGTTTTGAGTCGTGTCTAAAGTGCTTTGCCATATTAACGATAATTTGGCCAATGTTAATGAGGGACTGAATGATATTTTTGGCCTAGACTAGACACATGACTAGCAACTGATTATGTACTAACGTCTCTCAAAAGTACATTGCCCGCATTCTACTGTTCCAGTAACATTAGAATTATGTACATTAGCATTTATGTGGCTACTAAAGGGTAGATACTCAAATACTCAAGGTATTTCATCCACGTGCTGTAAAATCAAATAATTGCCAACAAACACCTAACGTATTTTAGGCCTAACTACACAAAAAACTATATAACATTTGACAAAATGCCGGTTTTCATTTCAAAGTACAGTACAGTACTGTGCATTTTACACTTTTTTTTACATTTACAGATATACTTTTGGAAATGACCAGCTAGGACGAACTTGGCTTGGTAATGGATTTATTTTTCTTAAATGGTTTAATAAACAATATTAATTTGTATTTTGAGAAGTTACTGTTAAATCTCAGTCTTAGCTTAGGTATTTTACATGCTCAACAGTCCATAGTTTGTATATATACCTTTCAGTCACTATAAAATAAGTTATTTGCAAACCTATTCACACACAAGATCCACATTTTGGAGATAATATATAGATACATTTAGATATATACAGCATATATATAGACGTGGTGACCAAACCACACACCAGAAGATGAGGAAACGATGACTTTTCGGCTTATAATGGTCCAGGACGGACCGAAACGTCGCCTCTTCATCTTTTGGTATGTGGTCTGGTCATCATATCTTCAGCCACGTTATTGTGACTCGTCGTGTGCAGTATATATAGACGCTTGGGGGGAAGCCTTATTGAAATTTGATTTTATGTTTTAGACAACTGTGCCGTTCTCCGCAAATACGGGGGACAACAACACTAAAGCATGCTTCATAGCTTTGAGTACTGTTGTTGGATAATCACACAGTAGTATTATATTTTACACAATGTCAGCTTAGTTGTAGGAGGATATAAGTTGGACAAATGAAATAACCTTTCACAATAATTTATTTGATATCAATTTGGCGATAGATTCTTGTTCATTTAATACATGTATCACAGTTTACATACAAAATATTACAAAACAGAGCTGATTCTATACAATGACTACACATGAGAGAGAGGCACAGAAATATGTAAGCTAGTCGAAGTTTAGCTTTACTGTGAGTTAGATGTGGTATGGGAGCGTCTTTGGGGGCTCCGGTTCCACTAATGTCTACAATGGGGAAATTATCTTCGAAAATTGATTAGGGACAACATGGTAATTGTCAAATATATATATTTTTAAAAAATCGTATACCATGTTCTATCTAATCACCAGAATGTCAAATTATTGTTTTGCTTTTCTTATGCATTACAAGAGGATTCATTAACAGCTAATTATTTTGTGGCTATCCCTTGAGATCTTTAAACAAAGGTTAACATAATAACTGTCAAACAAAACATCACTCAAACAGAACTGATAGTAAAGATGATAGTGCATGTGCTGCTGTCGTGGATACTGTTGTGTGTATTAGACGAATCAGCTGTGAGGAATGACAGTCAAAAATATTATTGCTACAAGTCTGTAAGTTGACATGTGGCATTGAAATAAAAAACAACTGTCAAAACTGACACCTAGAGTTTGTGTGACATCTAATGCATGAAGGATTATATTTTTTTTCTGATAATGTTAGAATGAAAGAGAAACACCTATGAAAGAATAATGCACAACTGAGAGGAAGCATATTACATAATCATTATTAGGATTTGTTGAAAGGACAGATCCTATGGAATGATGATGGGCCAAGCAGCAAACAACGAACGTGTAAGAACAGTCAAACGGCTTAAATCATGCCAAACTCTGATACTGGGAACTAAAGTACATAAATTGCCCTTGCCTTGAAGACCTATTTGCACTAATGAATACAAAATTTGCACGAAATGACATAAATTTGAATGTTTTTCAAATGTAAAATTTGAATGTAAATTTTGGAAATTCATTAGTCAATATACAGTAATTTGTATATATATATATATATATATATATATATATATATATATATATATATATATATATATATATATATATATGTCGTACCTAATAGCCAGAACGCACTTCTCAGCCTACTATTCAAGGCCCGATTTGCCTAATAAGCCAAGTTTTCATGAATTAATGTTTTTTCGTCTACCTAACCTACCTAACCTAACCTAACCTAGCTTTTTTTGGCTACCTAACCTAACCTTACCTATAAATATAGGTTAGGTTAGGTTAGGTAGGGTTGGTTAGGTTCGGTCATATATCTACGTTAATTTTAACTCCAATAAAAAAAATTGACCTCATACATAGAGAAAAGGGTTGCTTTATCATTTCATAAGAAAAAAATTATAGTAAATATATTAATTCAGGAAAACTTGGCTTATTAGGCAAATCGGGCCTTGAATAGTAGGCTGAGAAGTGAGTTCTGGCTACTAGGTACGACATATATATATATATATATATATATATATATAATGTCGTACCTAGTAGCCAGAACGGACTTCTCAGCCTACTATGCAAGGCCCGATTTGCCTAATAAGCCAAGTTTTCATGAATTAATAGTTTTTCGACTACCTAACCTAACTTTTTCGGCAACCTAACCAAGCCTAACCTATAAAGATAGGTTAGGTTAGGTTAGGTAGGGTAGGTTAGGTTCGGTCATATATCTACGTTAATTTTAACTCCAATAAAAAAAAATTGACCTCATACACAATGAAATGGGTAGCTTTATCATTTCATAAGAAAAAAATTAGAGAAAATATATTAATTCATGAAAACTTGGCTTATTAGGCAAATCGGGCCTTGCATAGTAGGCTGAGAAGTGCGTTCTGGCTACTAGGTACGACATTATATATATATATATATATATATATATATATATATATATATATATATATATATATATATATATATATATATATATATATTTGTACCTAATAGCCAGAATGCACTACTTGACATACTATGCAAAGTCCAATTTGCCTAATAGGCAGAATGATTTTCATTATTTTCAAACATTTTTCTAATTGGTTAATTTGAATAGATCCTATATTACATTAAGAACATGAATTACTGACTTAGCTGTGTTAGGATAGGATAGGTTTATTTATAATTTTACGTAAGTTTTAGCCCAAATTATGGCAAAAATTCATGTACTGTATAATGAAATGGAAAGGTTCATCATTTCATAAGAAAAAATTGTAGAAAAATATATAATTTCAGGAAATCTCTGCTTGTTAGGCAAATCAGGTATTGCATTGTAGGCAAAGCAGTCTGTTCTGACTATTAGGTTCTAATGTGTGTATAATATATAAATATTATATATATATATATATATATATATATATATATATATATATATATATATATATATATATATATATATATATATATATATATATATATATATATGTGTATGTATATATATATACATATATATATATATTGTGGCGTTGTTGATCTTATAGTGTAACCCTTCTATGCTTCTTAGAGTCCGTATTAAGAAGAGCAATCATAATTACCAAAATTCAAGATAAAGAAACGCGTAATTATTGAAGGATTTATTTTCTGCAACGTTTCCGTCCACACTAGAATATCTTCAGGTAAAAAATGAATTTACAAGGTGCAATTTTGGGTTACGTTAAGTGGAACGGGTGAGGTTGTGAGAGGCGAGGTGAAGGGTCGAAGCAATATGGGGGGAAACACAAATAGGGTAAACGATAAGGGAAAAGGGCCAATTAAACAATGGGTATAAACAATGGGGAAACTCTGGTACTCTTGGTGGGAGGGGTGAACTCTTTAGAGATGTCCTTATCTGGCGATTTTTGGAGATCTGGATCAGAGTGTCGGCAAGATAGCAAAGTCGTTATTCGGTGTATTTAAAATGGGTCTTTGTTCTCTCAAGTATAGCTTCCAGGATTTGCAATATTCTTTGGTCAGCAGTGGATTCCAGGATTTTTGTATTATTTACTAGCCTAGTGAGTGTTGTATTATCAACAATTTGCATATGGTTTCTTGTAGATGGCAGGTCAGTCTTCTCCAAAGCTTTAGGGTGGTCATACCAATATTAGTAGATCGAAGGTGACATCTTGAGATGATTTCGGGGCTTAGCGTCCCGGTCCTCAACCAGGCCTCCTTTTTGTTACACATCCCTAGGAAGCAGCCCGTAGCAGCTGTTTAACTCTCGGGTACTATTTACTGTTAGGTGAACAGAGGGAATCAGGGTGAAAGAAACTGCCCATTTGTTTCCGCCTCCACCGGGGATCGAACCCAGAACCTCAGGACTACGAATCCCGAGTGCTGTCTACTCACCTGTCAGGCCCCTATCTTCAGTAAACCTTAATACTGACACTAAGAAAATAGTTTGAAGCACGGAAAGCTTACACTACCAGATCAACAACGCCAACAATGTGGTCATGTATAACCAAATATGCTTACATGAATGCCTGCTGCCCATAATATATATATATTATATATATATTTTATATATACAAATATATATATATATATATATATATATATATATATATATATATATACATATATATATATATATATAATTATTAATTATATAATATATATTATATATTTATATATATAAACTTTTGAAAGAAGAATTCACTTCAGTCCAAGACAGCCTAACAAAATGTGAAAGGAATGGAACCTAGCTGGACAATGGAGTTGCTTCTTAATACCTGAACTTGGATGATTTATTCCATGGAATAACTTTCTGTAACAAAGCAGACATCAGCAAACAAAGTCTAAATGTGCTCAGCCGCATCACTGTTATACTGTATTGCTTGAGGGAATACTTCACAGACTTGTTCCAATCGTCTCTATGAGTAATTCTCAACTTGAATGTTTATTTTTAGCATCCTTACTGTGCCTATCTACAACATTGTTTTCCAAAATTGTGCAATAAATACGTCCACGCAATGGAACTACCGCCAGCACTTATAAAATAGTTTATGTCCGCAGTGCTCCTGGTAGTGTGGTCTCACCAGCAGGAGGAATCTGTCAAGGGATGCTAGTCACAAAAAAAAACATTGTGCATATATGCATCCATTTGGCACTTCCTGCAGTTCACTTACAACGTTTTCTACAGTCATCAGGAAGATCCTTAACTTTCCCTATGAAACAGGGCACAGGAAAACTTTCGATTATATTTTAACCTGAAGGTGTTCAAGTGTGAACTCCTCCTGCTGAAGACCTGACTAGGATGATGGGCTTAGTTGCTCTCGTCACTCAATTCACACAAAGGAGCAGGGGGTAGGGACCATGTCGAGGGTCGTGATCATCTCTTAGGGTTTTGCAACAATCAGTTCCACTTCATTATTGATACTTAAATGCAAATTATCTATCATAATGATTATCATGAGTATGTTTCATCACTTGCACACACCTACATTCATGAAGCGTAAAGGCCTTTAATGGGTTTTAAAGCACTATACACGTATGTACACAACTATGACTGTACAGAGACCCTAGCAGTGGCTATAGGTGGGAGGGGGCGGGTGCCTCTCCACCTGGGCTGTTCCAGTATTCTCATGGATGGGAGCGAGAGGAGGCTTCAGCTTACACACCACTTGTTCTCCACTCAGCACTGCTACAGTCATTTCGCCTAGTTGTTGGAGTTGCTGCAGGTCTCGATGCCTTTGAGCAGCCTCCCAATTCCGTAAATTAGGCTCACTGAGAGGATGCACCACAGGGAGGGGATGTCCCAGGGCTGCTAAAACTGCCTGACTATACTGTGGCATGCAATCAATAAACTGCCTCCCATTGTCCATCATGTGCTGACCACTATTAGCCAGGTGAGGCCCACTATCCAAGTATTGGTGTGTGTTTATGTGACCATTCCCAGGAGGCAGAGCATGGGCTGATGTGATGGTGGCATGGGTCATAGGAAGAATGTGTCCTGGACTAACGATGGTGTGGTCTAGAGGTGCTCCCACACCCAGCCTACCATCAGGCAAAGTATGGGTCTGAATGTCCTCCACACCATCTTGGTGACGAAGACGAGCCTTGAGTCGTGGGTCATACTGTGACTGGTGGTGGTGGGCTGCAGAGTGACGATCAGGCAAGGTGTAGGGCAGCAGTGGGCGGTGGTCACCATAACTGCGTGATGACTGACGGGATATGTCAGAACTATGGCGTCGACCATCTTCATCACTGAGATCACTCACTTGTAATTCCGAACGTCCTTCTCGTTCTATCTCCTCATACACAGGGTCAGCACCACCATCAACAGGGCCCTGACGGGTGGTAGCAGCACCTTCAGGAATCTCTGTATAGGTATGGTTCCAGGGAGAGTGGGTGCGATGGCCACGGGCAGCACTGTTGGAGGTAGGAAGACGTAGTGTGGGTGTTTCCCCAGCTAGGCGGTAGTCGGGTAGCAGACCTTCTGGTCCTGGGGGTGGCTGATCATGATTACCACTACTACTTGCAGTGGCAGCAGCACTGGCAGTGGTAAATGGATTAACAAGATGGTCTGGGGGCAAGTGGGGTGCTACGTTGTTGTTGAGGCGTAAGGAAGCCAGTTTGGCTGCAGGGCCAGTGCGAGGCGAGTCCTCTTGCTCCGACCCTCCATGCCCGCTGTCACGACCACATGACTTAAATGAGTACTTCTGAAAATAATAATTCGATTAGTTCTACAATGAAAAATACGATAATGTGTAATAAAATGTAACTCTCCTATTGATATAACTTGTATTATAATAAAATATATATATATATATATATATATACAGTATTAAGTGAAAATTAAATTTGCATGCATAAAAATCATATCTTGTTCATGACAGTCAACTTCACAACAACTCTTGGCAATTGGACTTCTATATAAAACTTGACAGCCCAGGACAGTATCCATACCACTGTAAACCACATAGGACAGTCTTAGCTAAGAAAAGGCTGAAAAATTCAGGCCAGCTCTTGACAGCATAAAACTCAAACTACAGAGTCCAGAACAACCTCTAGACAGGCTTCATACAGCCAAGGGTAGTCCTACACAGCCACAGATAATGTAGGACAATATCTACACGTACTGTCACAGTCCACAACTACATAAAGACAACCCAGGCAGCTGCAATAAACAAACACAATGCAATGAAGTTGCATTAGGAACATAGATTCAAGGACAGCTTTAGTATCCTAATAAAGTTGGCATTCTAGGGTATTGTTAGTTAAAGCGGTAAGCAAGGTACGAAAATTGCAACATGTGAGCCGCAACAGAAGTAGCACTAAGGTGTGATTTTTGAATAATATGGTTGAACAAATAATAATAATAATAAACATACAGTGCATTCATTACCCTTGCTCCATTTTCCACTTTCATGGATTGGGGGGAGACATTAGCCCAGATAAAAAAAGATGAGTAATATAGTAAAAGGTTATATAGCAGATATTAAATACTGTATTTGTATACTGCATACATATTACTGAATATGACTGAAAGGGTTATTACATCTATGAGTCAAGCATAAATCTTCCCAAATGTTCTTCATTTGGAAAAGTTGAAAAATTAACTCTCCACTAATTGTAGAAATTTCTTGGGTCTGACGCATGTCACTAAATGGCACAGTTGACTGACGCTGTCAACATTTTCGGAGGCAGAGGGAAAGTAAAAACTTATTAGCAAAGTTATTCCATGTAGTGTGAAGTCAAGTTTTACACAGTCAAGGGGGCCGAGTAATCTTTATTTACATTGTTAATGGTTGCCTGGCAGTTCTGTCTTGCTCTTGTAGATGGAAGACCCAAGTGGTAACTGGCTGTTGACAGTTGGCTCTGTCTAATCTATTGTTGTAGCTGTTGATTATTTTGGTGATGCTGGCGGTAATGTTATCTTTAATATAGACAACTTGCTTGTGTGTATTGTCAGGTGCCTTGAAATATATTGTTGTCTTGCTTATACAATATATTGAATTCGTTTATTCCGAAGTGGGTATGAATAGGCATAGCTGACGTTCGTCTCTTTCAAATCGTTTCGTTTGGTGTCAGGAGTTCTTTATGAACAAGTTGCCATTCTTTTTACTCTTATAGGATATGATGAGCTGTATTTTTTCTGCTAGTGTTAGTTGGCTCATTTCTGTGATTGTGTCTTTTCAAGACTCTCTCCTCCGCTTTACGGGACATTGAAAAGAAGATCCTGTAGAAATTGAATAGGTAGGGCAGGGCAGGTTCTGTGGTGTTGACCTCTTCCTCGGAAGTAGCAAGGCAGTTCCCCTTCCCTTTAATTAATGACATTTTTCACATAACCGTTAGAGTATCCAATGTTCACAAGGACCTGCCACACAATACAGAGTTCATCAACCAGTTTCCAATTGGAGCTATAAAAGCACAGTTGATGTAAGCGTCAAGAGCACTTAGCTTGTGCTAGTCAGGGCACTGTTAGCACCGATGGTTGGTTGATGTCTTATTTTAGTTCTCTTAGCATAGACTGAAGTGTGGAAGCTACCATTTCTTTCCGACATGTTACATCTAGGAAAGGCAGCTTACCCTCACTCTCCATCTCGTAAGTAAAATTAAGCCAGGAATTACGGCCAAAACCTTTAAGTAGTAGCAAGCGTTTCATGTCAGGTACCTGCAAGATGTTATTAACATATCTATAATCTTAGATTTAAGATAGAGGTCAACTTAGGATATATAGGTTGGTTATGTTGCTAAGTTATACAATAAATAAATTTTATATATATATATAATATATATAATATATATATATATATATATAATATTTATATATATATATATATATAATATATTTTACATATATATATATATATATATATATATATATATATATATATATATATATATATATATATAGACACACACAGGATATCCTTCAAAAATCACACTTTAATGATACTTTTGTTTTAGGTTAAAATACAATAAGGTTAACATTCGTGCAAGTAAAAGTGTCTGCAATTCGTGCTTGCCACTTCTACTAATGTTAAATATTTACATAAAACAATGAACAACCATGGGAAGTGTTTGAGAGTATAGTTAAGAAGTTAGTGCTGAATAACCATCATGTTCCAATAAGTAGCGTCAAGCCTAAAATACCATAATAACAACACTCATTTTGCCATTAGAGTATTGAACAAAACCTAGAGGATTTAGTAACTCCTTAAGGCGGGAAAGTTAACACAACGGTGGTTTATTATTGAATAAAGTTATTAAGTTTTTGTTTTGTTTTGCAAGAATATTTCTGTACGGGCCCTAAGCCTCTGGCGTTCTTTATTTCCCTAGGTAAAGAACTACCACCAATCCCTGACTGAGGCAAAATTAGATATCTTTTAGAAATGTCATGAAACGCCAGAGCAGGTCAAGAAGGCTAATGGAAGATTATGGAAAGGTAACCACTGGATAACTAATGGAAACTAAAAATGTTCAAATATTTAGAACGCCCGAGTAATTATGGGGTAATATTAGGTTAGGTTGAGCATAAGAGTGGACAAGCCTACACAAGATGACAGTACCGCTGCACACCCATGACCAAGTTGAGTGAGCCGGAGTAGTGCGGCTTCTCACCTCATCTTCGTGGTCGTGCGCTGCGGTGCGGGCATGAAGAGTGTGGTGGTGGCGAACTGAGCGGCCGCTGCTGTTCCTCTGGGGGGTGCGGGAGAGCGACCCCCGCGACAGGGACGCCCTCGAGAGGGAACCCCCCCTGAGAGGCCCCGCTGTGGTTGGGACCTGGGGCAGTCCCCCCGCTTGGGACGAGGAAGTCGTGGTGCTGCCCTTGCTGCCCCCCCGAGTCCACCGACCTGATGTCAGGCGCGGCACCAGCTGAGGGAAGGACACCATACACCCGTTAGACTCACCTGGCAGGCTTCGGCCCCCCACCACCACCTTACTTCCCTCGGTAAGACCAGGACATACAACCAAAACACTTTTATACTCATAAGTTACATATATTACAAGCCTCCTATTATAATAAGCAAAACCTTTCTTAAAACAATATACATAACATATTGAACTAATTAAAAATAAACAGGGAAAACCCCAAACCCGTTACGTTAGTGCAAACACACAAACCCTAAAACATGATGGCTACTCAAACAAAAACAGAAAATATAAGAAAAAGAACAACAAAAAACAATTACGGCCCGTACCATTGAGCCTGGGTTAATAATGGTGAGGATAAAGGATCAAGGATTAACGCTAGGATTAATTCTAGGACTCAAACCATCACCCACCTAAACCCAAACCGGTGCATACAAAACCAAATTTTAATGAAGATACCAAAATGGGGGATTTGTTGCAACATTCCACTAGTAATCTAGGTGATTATAATTGGGTTAGCTGATAGCCCGTTCACCGGAGGAAGCCATTTATTTGCAAAGTACTAACGAACACTCTAGTGCAAGTTAACATGTGGATGTTAAGTTTTGATCCAATCATATGAGGGAGTTAATGGTGAAAACCAGACTACCAAAGCACCTCCCCACACCAAGAGGCGGCGTGTATCATCAGAAGATTAGTATCAACAGAGTAACATAAACGCTGAGAGTACATACGTTGTGAGCGCCGTTTGTGTGTCAACCCAACACCACCAATCTTCACGCGGGATGGCCCACTCACTAACCCACTGACCTAATCTCCTCATTTGTTTTAAAGATTTGCCACTCACTAACCCACTGACCTAAACCCTTTTGAGTTTTTCTAACATTTACCACTATTAGTACGTTAACACAATTTTGCACAAAGATACAAATCACATACGTATTTTGAAAGAAAAATAAACACATTTAAAATAGCAATGAATAACTTGGTGTGTATACGCTTGTACTGGGCTGAGGGTGTTGGTGTGGGATGCAGGTGGAGGAGCGGCCCCTGCACATCCCCGTGTTGGGAAGAGTTACACCACCCCGCTCTGTCAACCCCACACACCCAGAAATTGGCTGGCAGTCGTGAGGGGACTGAGGCGCCGAGTAAATGCAGCAATTATCATTAGAGTCGGTCTTGGGCTTCTCCAGAGCGAGAGAACTAGGCTTGGTAGGCAGGTAAAGGGACCTTGTCCCATTATCTGAAGGTGGGTGCACACCCATTATGGTGCGGGGGGAGGCGGAGGGGTCGATTATCGTTAAACTGATCCTAAATGTTCCTATCAGCCTCCGACTAAAACTTGTGCTGGGAGGGATAAGCACCTAAAATTCTTGTTATGGGCTCAAACTCTTGATGCCTGCTTGAACAGTATGCTATTAATATGAAGACTAGAAGAGCCTTTAAGATTTCCGAGTGTGCTTTGCTTTCCCTTTATTGCGACTATGGGTTCTCAATAATTACAGGATGTCACATAACACGTGGCCACGAATTGCAGGAATACCCCCACAGAGAATGGGAAAACATTTGAGAACTTTTCTCCTCAATTGAACCGGACGATAGAGCGATGGTCTCGCTTCATGCAGGTCGGCATTCAATCCCCGACCGTCCAAATGGTTTGGCACCATCCCCCCCCCCCCCCTCCGTCCCATCCCAAATCCTTATCCTGATCTCTTCACAGTGCTATATAGTCGTAATGGCTTGGCGCTTTCTCCTGAAAGTTCCCTCCCTTCCCTTCTTAAGGAACGTCTTCATGAAGAACTGGGCCGTTATCAGGGTCCAGGCCGGACCGAAACTTCGTCAGGTCCATTTCATGTGTGGGTTCAGTTATTGGGTTTCAACAACATTAATTATATATATATTAATGTCAAACCACGCAAGAAGGATTAAGACAGGAATTTCCTAAAATACTTCCGTATTTAATAATACATCTTCAGAAGGATTGGTTTCATACACAAACACACATTATAATGAGTGTGTGTGTGTGTGTGTGTGTGTGTGTGTGTGTGTGTGTGTGTGTACTCACCTATATGTACTCACCTATATGTGCTTGCAGGATCGAGCATTGACTCTTGGATCCCGCCTTTCGAGCATCGGTTGTTTACAGCAATGACTCCTGTCCCATTTCCCTATCATACCTGGTTTTAAAATTATGAATAGTATTTGCTTCCACAACCTGTTCCTGAAGTGCATTCCATTTCCCCACTACTCTCACGCTAAAAGAAAACTTCCTTACATCTCTGTGACTCATCTGAGTTTCAAGCTTCCATCCATGTCCTCTCGTTCTGTTACTATTCCGTGTGAACATTTCGTCTATGTCCACTCTGTCAATTCCTCTGAGTATCTTATACGTTCCTATCATGTCCCCCCTCTCCCTTCTTCTTTCTAGTGTCGTAAGGCACAGTTCCCTCAGGCGCTCTTCATACCCCATCCCTCGTAGCTCTGGGACGAGTCTCGTTGCAAACCTCTGAACCTTTTCCAGTTTCATTATATGCTTCTTCAGATGGGGACTCCATGATGAGGCGGCATACTCTAAGACTGGCCTTACGTAGGCAGTGTAAAGCGCCCTAAATGCCTCCTTACTTAGGTTTCTGAATGATGTTCTAACTTTTGCCAGTGTAGAGTACGCTGCTGTCGTTATCCTATTAATATGTGCCTCAGGAGATAGATTAGGTGTTACGTCCACCCCCAGGTCTCTTTCACGCGTCGTTACAGGTAGGCTGTTCCCCTTCATTGTGTACTGTCCCTTTGGTCTCCTATCTCCTAGTCCCATTTCCATAACTTTACATTTGCTCGTGTTGAATTCTAGTAGCCATTTCTCTGACCATCTCTGCAATCTGTTCAGGTCCTCTTGGAGGATCCTGCAATCCTCATCTGTCACAACTCTTCTCATCAACTTTGCATCATCCGCAAACATCGACATGTAGGACTCTACGCCTGTAAACATGTCGTTAACATATACAAGAATGTGTGTGTGTGTGTGTGTGTGTGTGTGTGTGTGTGTGTGTATATATATATATATATATATATATATATATATATATATATATATATATATATATATATATATATATATATATACACACACGCATGTGTATACTCGCTTAAATGTACTTTTAGGGGCTTAGATTCAGTTCTTGAGTCCTGCCATTCAACCTTCATTCCACTGGTCTACAAGTTTCCAAACCCCTTTGGGTCGTCATATCTACATATTTACATTTGAATCTGTAGTGATTCTACCAACACTACAAATTAATTTCTTTTCTACTTTCGTGTTTGTTTTCCTGCCATAGCTGTATTATGGTTGGCGGGATTTTATTCCCCCCTTGACAGTTTCCGGCAGGTGGGTGGTGCTTAATGGGCTTCCCCCCAGTTAAGGCATCCCCCTGCTGTGATTCTTCCCCCTCGGAAGGAGACGCTGGATCTCCTCCCGCCCTCTCAAGCACCGCACTGCTGATCAATATCTCATTTTCATATCTGTTTCTGACTAAGCTAAACACGACACCGACTTATGGCAGGAATTATGCTAGCAAATTGGCCCTTGTGTCAGCCTCTGGAGTGTGTCATCTGGGCTCCTCGGTGTAATTAATCTTCCACAGCAAGTGTCAAAAACTCTCCCAGCGAGCCAATAACCGCCGCTAAGCGTCACCGGCGACGACCAATGAAAATTAATTATGTTTCAAGACCCCAGAGCTTATTGGTTCCTCGACTAAGTTAGTGGGTGTAATTTAGTGACTAGGATGTGGCGCGAATGATTCGACTCTCGCTTCAGGCCAATACTAACATCTACTTCTATTTAACTTCAGTTTGTTCTGTGTTTTGGTGCCGGCGCGTATTTTGTTTGTCATTTACGGACGAATAATCTACTAATGCCCAATTGTACTATGAAAACGGACCTCATTTAAAGCCAACAAGGTAATGCCCAAAATTATACAGTGGTTCCCAAGACACGTTTATGGCGACCACTTTTGAACGTTGGTGAGCGTTATTCTCGAACGATACGATACTAGAGATACTATTTTACCCGGGAAAGTTTGTCTGGAGCCTCGCTTACCGCTATCACGTGTACCAAATGATTTTGCGAAAATACTTTTAACTTCAAACTAAAATCGCCGATACCTTTATCAGTATCTATATCTACTATGTGTATGTATACTCATTAAGAGTTTGTATTTTTCTATTTGTGTCTGCAGAATCCAGCTAATAGCTCTTGGAACCCGCCTTTCTAACCGATCTATTTTTTTTCCTCTATTATGTCTACTACATATATTTCTCTTTTTACACACACACACACATTTCTAGGAAGCAGCTGTCTAACTCCCGGGTACCTATTTATTGCTTGGTGAACAAGGGCATCAGGATGAAAAAAACTCGGCCCTTTTGTGTCTGCCTAGGCCGTGTATCAAACCCGGGCCCTTAGGACTACGACCCCCGAGCGCTGTCCACTCAGTTACGAGGCCTCTAAATATGTAGTATTCACCAAGCTGCGCATGCGGGGGTTAAACTTTCGCTCTTTGGTCCCGCCTCTCAACTGTCAATCAACTGATGTACAGATTCTTGAGCCTACTGAGCATTTCATTTGTTAACTACTCTGACACTGAACAAATTCTTTCTAATGTCTCTGTGGCTCATTTGGGTACCAAGTTTCCACCTGTGTCCCCTTGTTCGTGTTCCACCCGTGCTGTGGGTGTGTGCGCGCGCGTGCGCGTGTGGGTGTGTGCGCGCGCGTGCGCGTGTGGGTGTGTGCGCGCGCTGCCTCCCTGTGCGTTTATCTCTATTTTGTAAGACTAGTATGGTCACGATATAAACTATAATTTTTTCTAAGTTTATTTCATTACAAATCACTTCACAATCTAAATAAAAAATGTAGACATTGAAAGGGTTTCATTATTTTAATTAATAAATATTGAAGTAAATTAAAAAGCGATGTGCAATATTGCAAGTTACAAGATGCAGAGCAACAGTGATCTTAATGTCCGGACACAAGTTGCAACATTATCATATTACGCTGCACTTCCTGGACTCCCAGACAACCCTACGAGGCTCCGGGGGAGTACTTAATGCTAATGCAATTGCTCGTTGCTCTTTTTAACAGTTTTACAGCTAAAACTGCCGTGTAGGATGCCCCCGCCAATCCCGAAGCCGCGTGAAGTTAACAGTAATTGGATACATCTAGATGTTATCTTGCGAGGGAAGGACTGGACGCAATGCACGCGAGTGCTATCGATATGGTCTCGCTATCCACGTCGTTCTAGCGCACTGAGCGAGTATCATTGACCAGGAACACAGGGCGACTGGGAACACAGGGCGAGGGCGAGGGCAAGTGTGGAGGCGGAGTGACAGGGTTAAAATGGAATTTACCCCATTTGCCTCTTGAAACATCCACTTTTGTTCCGCTAAAATATTTCTTACATTGGGTGGCAGGAGGCTGAAGAGCCAGGGGGGGGGGGCCTCTGATGTTCACAGACACATGTGACTGTGACATCTTTACTTTTCAATGAGTCCAGTAAGTTATATTTTACATATTTGGGACGTGAGCATCGAGTATCTTCCATGTATACATGATATCCCTCTCTTCTCCTTTCCACAAGGAAATAAAAATTACAAATGCAACGTATAACTGTGAAGGAAAACTGTTCAGTGTGTGTGTGTGTGTGTGTGTGTGTGTGTGTGTGTGTGTGTGTGTGTGTGTGTGTGTGTGTGTGTGTGTGTGTGTGTGTGTGTGAGAGAGAGAGAGAGAACAAAAAAGAAGAAATCGCCCTTAAAAAGTGCTTTATATGCATTTTTTATTTGTATTTCTCGACCCATCCATAACCTTCCTCTCTGTCCCTTTCTCTTCCTCTCCATTTTCATTGCATTCCTCGTCTTAATTTGTCGTAGTACGCCAAGCCTTCCCCTCTTTCATTACACTCCGCCCTTCCTCTTTCTCCTAATTTCGTTCAGAACTTTACCAATCCTCTTCCCCTTGCCACTCTACCTCCTGACAGTCTATGTGTATTTAATTTACACTATAACCTTTTTTTGGGGTGAGGGGGAGGTGGGGGGAGGAAGTTCAGCCTTCATCTAAGTCTGTCCATAATTCAGTCTTTATCTAACATTGTGCATGGTTCAGTCTTCATAAAATAGTGTGTATGACTAATACTTAACTCTACAGTGTGGATACCAGCATCTCCTAACACAGACCTAACACACATCAACCAGTCGATACCAATAGCACTGTGGCTGTGCTTATTATACACATTTCGGTGGGCGTACAGAATGTAACACGCTTCATAGCAGAGTTCACACACCCAGAGATCACATACACGGTCCACACACCCAGAGATCACATACACGGTCCACACACCCAGAGATCACATACACGGTCCACACTCCCAGAGATCACATACACGGTCCACACTCCCAGAGATCACATACACGGTCCACACACCCAGAGATCACATACACGGTCCACACACCCAGAGATCACATACACGGTCCACACTCCCAGAGATCACATACACGGTCCACACACCCAGAGATCACATACACGGTCCACACACCCAGAGATCACATACACGGTCCACACTCCCAGAGATCACATACACGGTCCACACACCCAGAGATCACATACACGGTCCACACACCCAGAGATCAACAGTCTACCCACCTAGACACTATTGCACTGAACCACTCACGTCAGTTCGAAGCAGGACAGACTCAGACCAGAGGTCTATAATTCGTCGTCCAAACTATTCCTGTAGACAGCTCGGTCTAGTACCCATCATGTCCATACACACCCGAGCAACCTCACTTAATATAGCGCAACTAAATCTTCCAATCATCATCTACTCCAGGAAGACTACTGAGTTGGCTAGGTGCCCCTTCTCCAGGCACACGGATCAAAGGCGCGTGCAGTTAATTGAAAGTGAAGTTATGGAGGTTGGCACCTTTGATAAGCTTGCAGCTCCAACAAAATTTGTCGACGAGATGATCAAGTGTCTTCAGGTTCAAGTGCTGGTGATCAGCACCAGCACACTTGCATTCAAGTGTATTTTAAGGAAGATGCTTTTTAATTGTTGCCTTTACCCGCCTCCTCCCCATCCTTGTCTTATTCTTCTCTATTTTTAATATAAACAAAAATTGTATAACAGATGGTCCAGACACCGTAGCAGACAGACCAACACAGACACCATAATAGTCTACACACAAGCCCCAACACCGGCTAATTTTCAGCATTAGAATTCACTGATTTTACAGCTAATTTTTTTCCTCTACATAATACTCGGTTGCTAATTCCAGCTTCCCCGACAACATTGAGACTGACAAAATTCCCGGAGCTGGATGATTAAAGGAGAACCCACGTGGAAAACGCTAGATTACACTGTGCGTATTTATATACTTTTTGTAATCTGTATTTTACTACATACTGGCCTGCCCGTTTAAACAAGGCTCTTTAGACCCGACACGGCCACACTTAAACCTTCCCCCACTCTCAAAAACATCGTCGACCTTAGGAGAACACTATGTACACAACCTTCCTTTTTTCTTCAACTTTAGGAATGGATCGTCTGATAAAATGCTCAATGTTTACAATTTAGGTATCCTGGTCAGTGCTTCTTGCTGGCTTATATGCTCACTGGGCCATATAAAAAGCTCTAATGCAGCTTTTGTCCATTTACTGGAGTTCACGGGGGAGCGACCGCTATCACACCCATTGGACCTGACGCACGAGGATTACAAATGAGATCTTCATGAGGAAAACTGATAAGAGCATGATGATAATGATCAAAATACAGATCATGAAGTACAAGTACAGTTTACTTGTATAGTATAATATGCACCATTACTTCCCCCAGCTCTCTCATACTCTAGCTGTGACCTCTAACTCAACACGCAGACTCCTGAAGGGGAGAGAGAGAGAGAGGGCTCACTGAACCCCGCGACCCCCTAAAGCAGAGGGCTGCCTTAACACCACAACCCGTTGAGCAAAGAGTTCACCGAGCACCGCGACCACAACCATCATGGAATACACAGCGAATCCTGGTCAAGCGGCCTCATCCTACATGCATGAGTCTACCTCCATGCCAGTTTTGACCATGCATCTGATAGCAAGCTAAGGTCAAACAGGTCGATTTCCATGCATGTTGAGACAGCAGCGTCCCATCAGCTCACCGCTGAGGTCTCGACATACATCACTTGTCCCTTTCCCAAACCTTTTGGCTTTGTTGCATCTTACACAACCCCCCTCACACAGAACATTTATATTTTCGTGTCGATCATCACCTCTATGGCGAAGAGCATTTGTACATTAAAATATGCAAGCATACATACGCTAATGTTGTGTAAAGTGGATCAATTCCTCCCAGCGTATAGCATTTGGTACTGAGCTAAGATGGTCATATGACACTGAGCTAAGATTAAGATGCTCATGTGGCAGTGAGCTAAGATGGTCATGCTGCGAGCTACGCTACCCACCACCAACTACCGTCACGGGCTCACGGCTTCCCTCGCCGACATCTGCCAATGGAACTCGAGACCCGTCTAGATGGTCATGCCACAGTACCTCTTGCAGTTTCCTACCAAGAATATTCTTATCAAGAGTAAAGGAGAAGCGTTAATAGCGAATTTGGTGCTCTAGAGATCCCTACCCCAATACCGCCGGTTACAAAAGCAGCCCCTCAATTTTGGGAGTGAGTATTTGCTGAAGTCTTGGAGTGAGTGATATGATAGCGAGCGTGCTGCGGCTCTAATCGCTTCTGGAGGCGAGAGAGTAAAATACCTTTCATAGTGTTGTTGCTGTTCTTTTGCGGCCTCTCCGGTTTTCGAGGGGGAACTTTACTCTTGGGCGTGCTTGGGGCTAGGGTGGTGGAGGCTGTGGTGGTGGAGGTGGTGGAGATTGGGGTGGAAAGGGAAGGGGACGAAGTCTGGTCTATCCTCAGGGACTGTCTGCCAGTATGGACAGAGACAATTGGGGATAGATAGCTAGCCTTGGAGGGAGGAGGGACACCACTCTCGCCAGGGGGTGGAGGGTGTTGTAGGCTGGTGGTAGTGATGGTGCTTGAGGTAAGATGTGATTTGGGTTGGAGGTAGTTGGAGTCATCTGGCGTTAAGTGGATTGCAGCTAGCGGGAATTGCAGGAGGTTGTGATAGTGGTGGTGATCGAGAGTTTGCAGTGCTTTGGGATTGGACTGATGGAGGGAGGAAAGGGCAGCCTGAAGCATGGAGGGGCTGAGGGAGAGGGCTGAGACGGTCTGCTGTTGGGGAATGAGGTGAGGCCCCAAGGCGAGGGGACTGGAGCGGGGCTGTATGTAGTGATGCAGGGCGGTAGATGCCAGTGTGGGCCCTGCCGTGTCATACAACTGGGAGAGGGTTGGCGTGGGAGGGGGCGAGGAATAGATCTGTGCGGCATTGACTTGCTGAATGTGGAAGGGGAGGGCGTTCTGATAATCTGGCGGAGAAGTAGAAGAGGAGGATGTGGACTCACAGGAAGAGGAGGCGGGAAAGACTGGGAGGTTGAGGACAGCATTGAGGACTCCTACAGGGGCCCCAGACTCGTCCAAGATGGCAGGATCGGCCTGGGATAGGTGGTGGGTGACGAGAGGGTTGAGGTTAGCTGGTAGCTGGATGTGGGTGATGGGATGGGCGTGGGTGGTGGCGGCTTGGGCGTTGGGGCAAGTGTGGGCGTCGTGGGAAGAGGTACCCACTGTATGAGAGGCGTGCGAGTTGGGCTGTGAGTGGGAGCCGGCATTGTGAGAGGTGCGGGTGTCCTTGCTGGCCTGCGAGCGGTCGGTAGCAGCACACAGGCACGCACGCAGCCAGGGGTGTCGCCGCCCGGCCCTACGCAACTCCTTCTTCACCTACCGGGTACAGACACACACAACATGTACCAAGAGTGTGACAGAGGCGGCCACCGCCACGCGCTACTCCCCTACACATCCTCCACAACAAACAAAATATTGCTGTTTACAATAAAAATGAACTAAAATTACTGCATAAGGGTAAAGGAAAAAGTTAAAAATGTCTAAAACTACAAGAATCAAAAGGTTACAAAAAATTAGTGCAAAAATAAAACTTGATGAACTCGGGTAACCATGAGACACCATAAGGGTTAATATATAAGTAGAACAACATTGCCAATAAGCTACACACAAAAATGCTTTTAGTGAATTAGTTTTAAAACAAACACCAACAACCCAAACACAATAATAACATGAAATAAACATATAAGACATTTACAGTGGTTAACGGGAGCATTAAAGACACCTCCTCTGTACACCGGATACGACACATACCAGACACATGACACACATACAGCCTGTCTTTATCTTTATATACCCTGTCTATCTTTATCACACACACAGTTGATAGGCGGGACCAAAGAGCCAGAGCTCAACCCCCCCAGCACAAATAGGTGAGTACATGACACACACACACACACACACACACACACACACACACACACACACACACACACACACACACACACACACACACGTCACCCACCACACACACGTCACCCACCACACAGCACTACACAGGGACACAAATGCTTTCTCAGCAGCGGTTCAATCACCATTAGAGTGATCTAGAAAAATTATAGATTCATAGAATACGGTATACTTTACATACAAGTACTAGTAAAGCAAGGGGGTCCTGAAATAATGAGGGGGAGGGAGGGAGGGAGGGAGAGAGAGAGAGAGAGAGGGAGGAGAAGAGAGGGGGAGGTGGAGGAGAGAGGGGGAGGTGGAGGAGAGAGAGGGAGAGAGAGAGAGAGAGGGAGGAGGAGAGAGGGGGAGGTGGAGAGAGAGGAGGGAGAGAGAGGGAGAGACAATTGTATTTACAAATTATAAGAAACATATACTAATAAAATAACTTATAGACTCACTATCACTCACACACAACACCCAGATGATGAGGTTTGGTCTTACAAACTGATAAACACACACATGTTCTCAAGCGACCTGTGGGAGGGGGGGGGAGGGGGGGTAGAAGAGCTGTACTCACCTTGTCATTCTGGACACAATGGAAAATGAAGATGAAGAGTCCCTGGAGGGAGTTGAGGACGGTGAAGATGTAGGCCATCACCACAGAAGCCTGGTTCAGGTACAACAGCCCGAAGGTCCACGTCAGCCCCAGCAGGAACATCAGCACGACTGCACCTCGAACCCATGTCCTGTGGAGAGGTGGAGGTCATTAGTACTAGGGTGTTCAAGGCCAGGGTGAGGCCATCGGTACCAGTATGTCCAAACTCAGGGTGGTGGTGGTGGTGTTAGCGGAGATGATCGCCTTTGTACTGTGTAAACAGAATTACCCAATATTTCCGCATGGTATAAACTGTTTATATTCACGTCCTCCTCCTAGGTTTGTTGCTGGGCCCAGTGTGTGTGTGTGTGTGTGTGTGTGTGTGTGTGTGTGTGTGTGTGTGTGTGTGTGTGTGTGTGTGTGTGTGTGTGTGTGTGTGTGGCATCACATGACAGTATATATATTGCCGTAACACTGCATTTTCTGCATCACAACCAACAAACGCATTAATACGCTGCTATATACAAATGCTTCAATTGAAAACGAATAAGAACGCTTAGTCTTTGTTGTTAAAAGCGGCAAAGAAAAGAAGAAAAGAAAAAAAGAGAGAGAGAGAGAGAGAGAGAGAGAGAGAGAGAGAGAGAGAGAGAGAGAGAGAGAGAGAGAGAGAGAGAGAGAGAGAGAGAGAGAGAGAGAGAGAGAGAGAGAGAGAGAGAGAGAGAGAGAGAGAGAGAGAGAGAGAGAGAGAGAGAGAGAGAGAGAGAGAGAGAGAGAGAGAGAGAGAGAGAGAGAGAGAGAGAGAGAGAGAGAGAGAGAGAGAGAGAGAGAGAGAGAGAGAGAGAGAGAGAGAGAGAGAGAGAGAGAGAGAGAGAGAGAGAGAGAGAGAGAGAGAGAGAGAGAGAGAGAGAGAGAGAGGGGGGGGGAAGGGAGGGAGGGAGAGGGGGGAAGGGAGGGAGGGAGAGGGAGGGAGGGGGAGGGAGAGAGAAGGAAGGAAGGGAGAGAGAAGGAAGGAAGGGAGAGAGAAGGAAGGAAGGGAGAGAGAAGGAGGAAGGAAGGAAGGAAGGAAGGAAGGAAGGAAGGAAGGAAGGAAGGAAGGAAGGAAGGAAGGAAGGAAGGAAGGAAGGAGGGAGGGAGGGAGGGAGGGAGGGAGGGAGGGAGGGAGGGAGGGAGTAGCAAGCAGCCAACTACCCCAGAATACACAACACACCAACAACCTTGCCTGCATGCGGAGGCCAAAGCCAAGAACGTAGGCTTGTGTTTTCACATGTGTTCGGCCAATGGTCAACGAGTAATCGGATTGTGTTATTTAATCGTTTAACTTACCAGCTCGCTCACACGGCTGAAACTGCACGGTTTTCTCTCAAAACACAGGAAATGGGAGATGCACGGCGCGTGAGCACGGGATAACCCTTGTAATTTTAGGGCACTTCATCTGTTCCCTCGTAGTCACACATACACAGTGTTCCCTCGTAGTCACACATACACAGTGTTCCCTCGTAGTCACACATACACAGTGTACCAACACACACAAACACGCCAACACACATTGAGGTACTGAGCTTGAACAGTGTTCAGAGCACTTCGAGCACTTCCCACATGTAGGAGGCTCCACACCCCTTGAGACTAAGTGACATGTAAGTGACAGTAGAGGAGGTACAGAAACAACTCGAGGAGCTAGCCATCAAAGATTGCTGGACCACATGAAGTCTGCACATGGACACTGAAGACAGCCGCCTAGACTCTAGGCAAACTTCACGGAATGTGCTGCTCACAGACAACTAATACCATACCTATTTAGGAAAAGGTATAGACATAAGGCACTAAACTACATGCCAATACTGTTGACATATTTGAAACGTTGGCGTTGACAATGAAAATGACCCAGAGAGTGCAGATGTTGTCTTATACAATATCACAGGTTCATTGAAGCTATCTTATCCCATGGACTCAATAGTTCTTCAAGTTGGCACTGATTAAAGCCGAACATAATTTTCAGTAGCTTAGCACTACAACACAGGAGTAACAAGTGGAACTGGGCGCTGGACTAGGCGAGAGTCCTAGTCCAGCTTTACCTTTTCATCATGAGGCAGAGAGCAATTACGAAAAAATATTGTAGTGGAGAGTGCATTAAATGGTGCAAAACTGTCATCTGTACAAGGGATAAATTTCATCCTGATGTATGTCAAGTTTAGCTATGGGAAAGGCTGAGGAAGCTTGACCTTACTATACTGAAATGTATGTGGAACAGAGGACATGATTCTAATATACAAGATTGCTAGAGGCACTGCGAGAGTATACAAAACAATATATTTAGAATAAACAGAGCCAAGAGAAGGAGTGAACAGAGATAAGACGAGAGAGCATGAAGCAGGAGTAGAACGACAGGACATAAAGATACCAAGACATTCTCAGGTCATGTCAGGCAGCACTTCACCAAGGTGTAGTGCGGGGAATCAGAATGGAAGGAAGCCGGGGTCAACTGCATGCAGTCAATTACAGGCACGAAAAAAAAAAGATAATTGGAAGTAATTGTATACATAACCGGTGGCTGACGAGCCGGGCCCAGGAACTGATGCTATACGTGCTAGCACACACAGGCGAGAACATGTAAACGCACGCACGTACACCCGGCCCAGGAGCTCAAGCTCAATACTCAGATATACAAACAGGTGAGCAAATGAACACGCACGCGTGCATGCACGCACGTACGCACTGCACGAATGACAGGAGTGTTGACCGAGGCGATCACGGGCGTAATGACCGCAGGAAAACTATCAACCCCGTTTGCTCCCCGCCAAATCATTACTATGCAGAGCAATACGCACAAACCCTTCCAATTTAGCGCTGCAAGTAATATACTGTATCGCTATTCGACAACGCGAGAGCAAACGAGCTCATTCCTACATAACGAACCATTCCCTCATGTCGAAGACAGCACAATTCAACGACAAAATAAGGAAATATTTCCCCCAGAAGGGCAGAGACTGAGCGGGTGTAGATGTCCCCCAACACCGCCCACGTCCAGGGGCGCGCCTCCGGCTCAGGTTCAATACCATCATCAGTGCGCCCGCCGAGTCCGGCCTGGCCAGGTGGAGTGGATCAGTTTAAATGGTTCATGTATTCCGTAAATTATCCTAATGGGTTAATGTGCTTGGAGTTCAATGAATCGTTGACGCGGACCAACCTAGTTTAAAGTCCGGTTAATTTTGGCGGGACGGGAATGGGACCTCGGTGTGCGGTTGGTGTGAGGGCACGGTGCTGCAGCCAGCGTACGTGAGTGTATACCCACCTAGTGGTGCTGGCGCCTCTCAACTGTCAACCCGTGTACAGATTCCTGAACCTATTGGGCGCTATCATATATACATTTCAAACTGTGTATGGAGTCTCCCTGCACCACACACACATGGAGTGTGAGAGTGTGTGTGTGTGTGTGTGTGTGTTTCCGCCACACATAATGAAATACTCTTACTGCTCGTGCATTGTGTTATTGCAATAACAGTATCTAATACACATGGTGTTCCACCTGGCAACCTTACGTGCTGGATGAGATGGTGCAGTCAGTGGTGGATGAGGAGGAAGGATGAGGGAGGGGGGGCGCCGGGCCGGTGTACCGTTCCCATCATCATAAGGGGGGGGGGGGGGTAGAAATAGCCTAAGCTACTCTATCCCTTTGAGATGTATTTTTTCTTGTCTCAATAAACATACTTGAACTTGAACTTGAACCCATCATCATCTGAATGACAGACTGGCTTTCTGTACACCCTTTGCTCCAATAGTTGAACCTTAAAACCAGACTGTTAATTTAACATGCCTCTGGCTTAGGGTTGTGTGTTCCGTGCATTGGGTTGTGTTGTGCTCTTAAGCGTGCGCTGGCTTGACGTATTATAGTTACCTTTGGTAGCTCAGTGTTGCGTGAACACCTGCTAGTCAACAGCTTTATTTACCTAGTTGTGCTTTCGATGGTTGAACTTCGGTTTGGTGGTCCCGCCTCTCGACCATCAACCAACTGGTGGACATGTCCCTGAGCCTGCTGGGCTCTATCAAATCTACATTTAAAGCTGTGTGTAGTCTGTCTCCATCACGTCCCTTCCTAGTACATTGCATTTGTTAATTATTCTGACACTTGAGAAAATTTTGCCTAATGTCTCTGTGGCTCATTTAGGCACTAAGTTTCCACCTGCGTCCCTTTGTCCATGTACCACCCTTTCTAAATGTTGTCTTTATCTATTTCTGTCAATTTCTCAGAATTTTCATGCATGCTAATCATGTCTCCTGTAACTATTCTGTCTTCCAGTAACTATTCTTCGTAACTCATACCTGTCAGCTCTCGAAATAGCCTGGTAACTATGCGTTCTGCACATTAACACACTGCAACTCCCTGACCCCATAGAGGATTCGAACCCCGCCCACTAGGAGTCTCCTCACCCATAGCACCAGTACCATGATTGGTGTAGTGATCATGGTGGCAGGACGAACACGGCGTGTTCCTCGGCTGACACTAACCATTCTCAATGACATTTAAATATTAAGAAAATTCAAAGCAAAGATGTGCGTGTGAGTGAAGAAGAGGTAAACCAGTCTCATTTAATACGTCCTCTTAACCTGTGTAAGGGTGAAGTTGATGTAGCACCGGTGTAGATTTTGACAGGACTTTACTCCATCTGACTTGTTGAGAACATACCCTGGCAGTGCGTTAAATGTCTGAGCGAAGATACTCAAACAAGCGTGGGTAAACGGAGAAGGTATTTTACTCACTGTTAGTACAGCCATTAAAAAGTCAACATTCACACAACTGTGAGAGTAAACCATAGTATATACTTTACACGAGCCATGTACAAATATGTGTCACATTAAAGGTTAGTGGAGATGATTGTGTGTGTGTCAGTATGTGTGTCGTGAAGATGACTGTGTGTATGTGTGTGTGTGTGTGTGTGTGTCAGTGTGTGTCTTGGGGATGACTGTATGTGTGTGTCAGTGTGTCGTGGAGATGACAGAGGTGTGCGAGACAGAAGAGAGTGAGACAAGGGCAGGAGACCAACCCAAGATACCGCAAGCAACCCCAGGTCCCTCATGCATCAGCGGCCCGTCCCCTGAGACTGTAAGCAGTAGGCCGTGTACTCACCTATATGTACTCACCTATATGTGCTTGCAGGATCGAGCATTGACTCTTGGATCCCGCCTTTCGAGCATCGGTTGTTTACAGCAATGACTCCTGTCCCATTTCCCTATCATACCTGGTTTTAAAATTATGAATAGTATTTGCTTCCACAACCTGTTCCTGAAGTGCATTCCATTTCCCCACTACTCTCACGCTAAAAGAAAACTTCCTTACATCTCTGTGACTCATCTGAGTTTCAAGCTTCCATCCATGTCCTCTCGTTCTGTTACTATTCCGTGTGAACATTTCGTCTATGTCCACTCTGTCAATTCCTCTGAGTATCTTATACGTTCCTATCATGTCCCCCCTCTCCCTTCTTCTTTCTAGTGTCGTAAGGCACAGTTCCCTCAGGCGCTCTTCATACCCCATCCCTCGTAGCTCTGGGACGAGTCTCGTTGCAAACCTCTGAACCTTTTCCAGTTTCATTATATGCTTCTTCAGATGGGGACTCCATGATGAGGCGGCATACTCTAAGACTGGCCTTACGTAGGCAGTGTAAAGCGCCCTAAATGCCTCCTTACTTAGGTTTCTGAATGATGTTCTAACTTTTGCCAGTGTAGAGTACGCTGCTGTCGTTATCCTATTAATATGTGCCTCAGGAGATAGATTAGGTGTTACGTCCACCCCCAGGTCTCTTTCACGCGTCGTTACAGGTAGGCTGTTCCCCTTCATTGTGTACTGTCCCTTTGGTCTCCTATCTCCTAGTCCCATTTCCATAACTTTACATTTGCTCGTGTTGAATTCTAGTAGCCATTTCTCTGACCATCTCTGCAATCTGTTCAGGTCCTCTTGGAGGATCCTGCAATCCTCATCTGTCACAACTCTTCTCATCAACTTTGCATCATCCGCAAACATCGACATGTAGGACTCTACGCCTGTAAACATGTCGTTAACATACACAAGAAATAGAATTGGTCCCAGCACCGATCCTTGTGGTACTCCACTTGTTACTGTTCGCCAGTCCGACTTCTCGCCCCTTACCGTAACTCTTTGGCTCCTTCCTGTTAGGTAGTTCCTTATCCATTCTAGGACCTTTCCCCCCACCCCCGCCTGCCTCTCGAGCTTGAACAGCAGTCTCATGTGCGGTACTGTATCAAAGGCTTTTTGGCAGTCCAGAAATATGCAGTCTGCCCAACCATCTCTGTCCTGTCTTATCCTCGTTATTTTATCATAGAATTCCAGAAGGTTTGTTAGGCACGATTTCCCTGTCCAGAACCCATGTTGATGTTTGTTCACAAACCTAATGTTCTCCAGGTGTGCAACCAGTCGTAGCCTAATTATTCTTTCCAGTATTTTACAGGGGATGCTTGTCAGTGATACAGGTCTGTAGTTAAGTGCCTCCTCCCTATCTCCTTTCTTGAAGATCGGCACGACATTTGCCTTCTTCCAGCAACTGGGCAATTCTCCTGACATAAGTGACTCATTAAAGATCATTGCCAGAGGCACGCTGAGGGCCTGTGCTGCTTCTTTTAGTATCCACGGTGATACTTTGTCTGGTCCAACTGCTTTAGTTGCATCTAGAGTTGTCAACTGTTTCATTACCTCCTCTGCTGTCACCTCTATATCTGATAGTCTTTCATCTAGGGTAACCCCTTCCAACAATGGGAGCTGCTCAGGCTCGGTAGTGAACACTCCATGGAAACTGGCATTCAGTGCCTCGCAGATTTCCTTGTCACTTTCAGTATATGCCCCCTCTGTCTTCCTTAGTCTTGTCACTTGGTCGTTCACCGACATTTTCTTCTTATATGACTGTGTAGTAACTTAGGTTGTTTTTTCGCTTTGATTGCAATATCGTTCTCATAGTCCCTTTCCGATGTTCGTCTTATGTTAATGTAATCGTTCCTAGCTCTGTTGTATCTGCTTCTGTTGTCCTCTGTTCTTTGTCTTCTGTACTTCCTCCACTCCCGCCTGCTGGCCATTTTTGCTTCCTGACACTGTCTATTAAACCATGGGTTATTATATTCCTTCTTATTTTTTCCCTTTACCGTTGGTATAAATCTCTCTTCGGCCTCCTGGCATTTCTGTATGACTAGGTCCATCATATCTTGGACTGTTTTTCCTCTAATTTCTTCCTCCCACTGCACTTCACCCAGATAGTCCCTTATCCTCATATAGTCCCCTTTCCTGTAGTCAGCTCTCCTTTCCCAGATCTCTTGTCCCATGGTCATAATTTTGAATTCCATCATGTAGTCAAAGACTAGGACACAATGGTCACTGGCCCCTAGAGGTATTTCATGCTCTAAATTCTCGATATCTTCTACGTTCTGGGTGAAAATCAGGTCTAATAGGCTCGGTGCATCTCCTCCTCTTTCCCTTGTGTCTTCCTTCACATGTTGTGTCAGGAAATTCCTGTCTATAACATCTACTAATTTTGCTCCCCACGTTTCATCCCCTCCATGGGGATTCCTTGATTCCCAATTTATCTCTCCATGATTTAGGTCCCCCATGATCAGCAGCTTCGCTCTCATTCTGTGGGCTAGTGTTGCTGCCTTCTGCAGTTCATCAATACATGCTTTGTTGTTGTCATCATACTCCTGCCTGGGTCTTCTACTGTTTGGTGGGGGATTGTAGATTACCATGATCACAATCTTCCTCCCATCTACTGTCAGAGTTCCATGTATGAAGCTTGTGCACTCATTGGTAACTCGATTTCCCAGGTCTTCAAACTTCCATTTCCGCTTTATTAGGAGTGCTACTCCCCCTCCCTGTCTCTGTGTCCTCTCTTTTCGTATCACCTGGTACCCTTCAGGAAAGATAGCATCTGAGATCATGTCATTAATTTTAGTTTCCACAATTGCAACTATGTCAGGATCTGCTTCACTCACTCTTTCTTTTATCTCTTCTGCTTTATTAGATACCCCATCAGCATTGGTGTACCAAACCTTGAGATTCTTCATGGAAACTCTTGTACCAGAGTTCTCCCTTTCTCTGGGGGTCTGGGGGGATCTGGGGGATGTCTGGGGGGTGACTGGGGGCAGAGGGGATCTGGGGGATCTGGGGGGTGTCTGGGGGATGACTGGGGGCGGGGAGGGTCCGGGGGATGTCCGGGGGGATCCAGGGGGTGTCTGGGGGGGTCCGGGGGGTGTATGGGGGGTGAAAGAGTTCAGGAGGGGTGCTTGGGGGGCTACTGGGGGCTGGGCTTCTAGGAAGGTAGGTAGGAGGGTCTGGGGTAGGGCCTGGGTAGGTAGGTCTGGAGTAGGAAGGGCATACTGGGTCTGAAGATTAGGGAGGGCATGTGGCTGTGTGTGAGCGAGCCTGTGAGATCCTCGACCCGATGAACTGTGCTGGTGCCACCAAGACTAAACTCAAGCACAGCATCTGGGACCTGACTGTGCCACACAACACACAGGTGAACAATACACCACACATACTCATCAGCATAATTCCTCTAACAACAGTAAAACATGCATCAAATTCAACAGAGGAACTTATAACTGGCAAGCAGTAAATGTCAAGAGCTCAGTCAGGTCCAGATGGCTTGTTCCTGCAGACAACACAAATGACCACACTTCGTCTTACACATGATTCTGGATTTTGGCGAAGAGTGCATTCTCCTCTCCACCACTATACACGTCACCATCATCACCACCACCCATACCGCCACCACCATTACCATCGCAGCCAGGGCCATGACGGCAACAGTAGCAGCAGCAGCAGTAGCAGTAGCAGCAGTAGTAGTAGTAGCAACAGCGTATGAAGGCGCACAGATCACACGTCCCGAGGTAAACATGAAAAGTTAGTATAGAAAAGTGACCACTTGTGGACCAGCGTCACTAAGAGTCCTCACTCTTGACTACATTAGTTGAGGATACTATAGTAGAACCTGTTAGTATATACCAGGTGAAGGACCCCCACCAGGGCTTGTACAACACTAAAATACACTAATGGTTGCGGTTAGTCTAATGTTATAAGAAAGACAATTACATAAACATAACAGAGATCATCTTAAATGGCAATGTTAGAAAAATATTTCAGAAGTTATAAGTGCAAAATTAAAAAAAATGAAAGAAAGTCTACAAAAATTATACAATAAAGATTAATTAAACCTCCAAAATGGTGTGAAAATGGTGGCCTGATTTGTTCTTGAATACAATCAGTAAATGTTAACTCGTCAACTGGTGGTGTTGATCCATCCATCCTACAGCCCCCCCCCACCATCTACTGCCTCACCTATGCGTCCTACCGTCAAGTTTGTCTTTCCACCTGCTGGCCACCACCTGCTGGCCACCACCTGCTGGCCACCACCTGCTGCGTCTTATACAAGGGACGCAAGACTCACCTGACGGAGGCCAGTTTGGTGTGTTCCTTGTTCTTGAGCGAGGCGGTGATGTTGGTGTGTCGACACATGATGAACAGCGACATACTCAGGAACACGGAGTTGGCCTGTGGAACACAAAAAGTAAACAGAGTTAATGGGAAAAGTTTTAAAAGAGAGTCGAGTGTCCAGCCACATTACACAAGAGCTCCAAGTTATGTTTCTAGTAAAGCCTCTACTACCTCCTCCCCTCTAGTTCACTTCACTTATTTTTTGGTTAGATGTTTCTTGACATTCCTATTGTATCTGTAGTATCTGTCTATGACCACTCGTACTGCTGTTGCACATGCAAAACATTTCTTCCTTATATAGTCAACGATCCTTGGGATTTTACATGTCGCGGTCATGCATCTTCTTCCTCGGCTTTGAATCTACTGCTGGATGATCCAGCTTCCTCAGTTTGTTCCCGTATTTCAGTCATCTGTGGGTTCCAAGCCGGGACCATACACCATTGTTGACCCACAGTGTACATGTCTTCTTGTTCAAATGTCTAAACACGGCTCTGATGTTCGCAGGTTTGTCTATCCCGGTCTATATCTATAAGGGAGCCGGTCGGCCAAGCGGACAGCACACTGGACTTGTGATCCTGTGGTCCCGGGTTCGATCCCGGACGCCGGCGAGAAACAATGGGCCGAGTTTCTTCATCTCAAAATCATCTCAGGATAACCTGGAAGATCCCGTTGGTGTTATTTTGCTGATATAGGGCTCTGAAGATAGTCATGGCTATATGTATATTCATATATATATATTTTATTTTTACTTTATTAATTCAAGGAGCTGTCAACCCGATCTCGTGAGCGATGTGGGCCGGGTTCGAGGTCTGGGCGAGAAGCGACGCTCGGGGCTCCAATACTTAAACGAGTTCACCCAGTAGTAATTGGGACCTGGGTTGTAAACCAATTGACCGATCGTGTTCTAGGGGAAAACTAGTAAGGCAAGGCTTCATGGGAGTTTGAGAGAATGGAAAAGCTCTGAACCTGGTAACGAGTTAGAGGAACTCTGCTCGTGTACCCACTAGTGTAGAGAGGGAGAGGGTGGGGTGGGGAGCTATTGTCTGGGGCATGAGCACAGTTGGTTGTAAACACACCATTGTCATCGGAACTTTGGAGCAATATTTCGTGGAACTCTCGCTCACCCAGCCTGAGTTCCACAGTAAGACGTGGAACAGCTCGACGTGGAACCCTCACCCAGATCGTGGTCAATGACTAGTCTCCCACCACTCTCAGCCGAGAGCGCCATTAACAGTGCACTAGGACTTGAAAAAGCTTTTGCTATAGTCAACCTACCTTGGGGATTTATTTCATTAAGATAAAGTTAAGCCATTACAACTATATAGCACACGGAAGGGGTCAGTATAAGGATTTGGGATGGGACGGAGGGAAGGAATGGTGCCAACCACTTGGACGGTCAAGGATTGAACGCCGACCTGCATGAAACGAGACCGTCGTGCTACCGTCCAGCCCAAGCGGTTAAAAAGGAACGTAAGTAAATACTCGTATCCTGTACGGGTGGTCAACAAATATGAAACGCACTGGTTGTGGCAGCCACCTGCATCAATAACTTTAAGGCCAGACTTGACAAAAGACTTGGAACGTCAGAATGGTTCCGTTATAACTCAACAGGTACAACAAGGGCAGTAGACGGGGCATGCCAGACTTCACAGTAGCCACTGATAAGAGAAGCGAACAATCGCTCACGCACAACCGCACTATCTTTTTTATCGCAGACGAAAAACAAAACAAAAATTCGAAAAAAAAAGTTGTGCAGACAGGACAGTGAGCCAGACACATTAATCTATCAGGAGAAGCCTTCAACTATGCGATCAATCAACGTTCCCCCCCCCCCCCACCCACCCCAAAACCACTCATGCACCCATCACAGAATGATTTACATAAGAGTTATCGCAAACACATAATTATCCAGAGACAATACTTCACACAAGCCTTGCCCCGCCCATCTCCCTCCCACCTCCGTTGCCCTTTCCTTCCCACCACCTCTGCCCTCTCCCTCCCACCACTGCCCTCTCCCTCCCACCACAGCCCTCTTCCTTCCCACCACCTCTGCCCTCTCCCTCCCACCACTGCCCTCTCCCTCCCACCACAGCCCTCTTCCTTCCCACCACCTCTGCCCTCTCCCTCCCACCACAGCCCTCTTCCTTCCCACCACCTCTGCCCTCTCCCTCCCACCACTGCCCTCTCCCTCCCACCACAGCCCTCTTCCTCTCACTACTAAATGTAATAGAAAAACCCAGTTACAGTGGAATGGGAAACGAGAGCTAAATCCCTAATACTAAGGGACTTTGACCACAGAAATAAAACTGGATAAACAAGGAGCGAGCCCTCACAGGGGTGACGAGACATGGAGAGCAAAACTGGTCGACATGCCAGACAAACACTTCTTAAAGCACCATATTATATTTATTAGTATTAACAGCTTTATTGACAAAAATTAATTACTATTTTGCCTAATCTGAGGAATTTAATTAGGTCTTATTAGAGTGAGGATAATGCTGGTATTCATTGTCACGCAGGACAGAGGGTCATACACAAGACAATAGGTCTAAACTGTAGGCTGAAGCACATATTTTATATATATATATATATATATATATATATATATATATATATATATATATATATATATATATATATATATATATATATATATCATCGTTACAATCAACTACATTAGACTGTATACACGTTTCAATGTACGAATGTGTAAATTCAACTTTCTATTGTGCACTGCCACACAAGGGCAGGGATGGTTCATAAGTGATGCAGCTTAAAAATAATATAAATAAAATTGTTCTTCATTCTTTAAAATGAACAAGCAAATTTTTGATAAATTGTTAGGATGTCGTCCAGTACACCAAATTCATTTAAATAGATACACAGTTGGTGGTAATAGACCAGGAGGTCTAAAATATTTCACGGTTTCGCATTGAACAATATAGTGTTCTAGTGAATGTCTTAAAGGTTTGTCACAGAGTTTACAATCTGAATATTCTGGTAATAGCTTAGGCTCACTACCTCACCATATTACAGAACCAACTAAGAGGAGAGGATCTACCAGCATTACTGGATCTGCCATTTTGCAAAAATGAGGCAGATGTTGAAAACAGAGTATGAGATGACTTTAGGAGTTAGTGACCACTGCATTGTCATGCTTGGATACATGGTGGTGATAAAGGGGTTGGTTACAGAAAGAAACCTGTTGAAGAAGAGTGGTTACAGACGTGGAGGACTAACAAGATGAGGGACTCTGCCTGAAATCCAACGGGAGAGAGAAATGGAAGGGAAAGAGCAAATGAGACAAAGGATTTTTTTTGCTGGTGAATGTGCTGATGCAATGAAGCAGCTTATACCCCTTAAGGAGGAGGTGGACGAGAACAATAAGTAAACCCTTGGTTCAATAGGCAATGCTGGGAAGCTAAAAGGAAAAAAACCTGAAAAAAGTACAGAGAACTAAGAATAAAGGCCAATAAAGGGAAACACAAACGAGTACACCCGAATTAGGAGAGAAATTGAATAACAATTTGAAAATGACTTTGCTATTAAAGCTTAGGAGCAGCCAAAGCAGTTCGATAGCCATATAAGGAGGAAAAACACCATGTACTCAGATTAGGGAGACAATAGGTGGATTATCACTATAAATAATAATGAGGTATGTCAGGAGTTCAACAAAAGATTTCAGGAAGTCTTTACAATAGAACCAGTGTAGAGACCAAGATTGAGAGACAAAAGGCTGGAAAAAACAATGGATGACAATGCACTTACTGCACAGATAAAAAGGAGGCTACAGAAGTACTTTGTCACCCCATTATCTAATTTTTTAAATAAAATGCCTGAAAAAAATAAATCTCTCAGAAATTTTGAAAAAGGCAAACGTAGTCCCAATATTTAAAAATGGGATAGAATGGAGACTCTACATTACAGACAAGTATTGACATGTAAAGTGCTGGAGAAAGTAATCAAGTGGAGAATGGTGGGGCATCTACAGAGGCCCGACTATGTGATCAATAGGTCAGCTTGAATTTAGAAAAAGGCAAAGTCGTGCCTGACAAACTTGATTGAATTTTATGACAAGGTTACTAAAAATAAGACGGGGGGGGGGGGAGGAAGGTTGGGTAGACTGTATTTTCTAAGACTGTCAAGAAACATGTGGCATTGTCCCTCATGAAAGACTGGTGTACAAGAGGGAGAGCCAGGCTGGGGTAACTGGGAAAGACCGTCATGCAGCGAGTTGTTGCACGTTGAACAGCCTGGTTGACCAGTCCACCAACCAGGAGGCCTGGTCAGAGACCGGGCCGCGGGGACAATGATCCTCGGAATCATCGAAAGGTAACCCTGTACGGGAAGTCAACAAGTGGAATGCACTGCAAGAAGAAGTTGTGGAAGCCACCTCCATCCACAACATTAAGGCCAGATTAAATAAAGAATTCGAATGTTAAAATAGTTAGGTTGTAATGCAACAACAACAATGCAGGCGGCATAAAGCGCTAGGACCTCATTCCCCCGTAACTACTTGTGTAAAGGAGGAAATGTATATGTTTATCTCTCAGAATGTTCGGTAATATGTTTATTGTTTGTGATGTGTGTCTATGTATGTATTAACACGATGTACTGAACGGGGTGAGAATAGCTTGAGCTACCTCATCCCTTTGTGTGTATTTTACCTCAATAAACTTATTTCAATTTCATTCCCCCGTAGGCACTCTTAGGTAAGTACCACCACTATCCTCTCCTTCCCTTTCGTCACCTCACTCGTCTCCCTCCTGCTGTACTTCCTGTACTTTGCCTCGACGAAAAAAAGAGAGTAAGATTTAAGATTGATCACAGGAGAATAAGCCAAGGGAGGCAGGGCTATGCCTGGCGGATCTGTGATGCACATGGAATATCTACAAAATCCGGGTCGGAGTAGCTGGGCTAGCTGCAGTCTTTCTCACGTTGATTAGGGCATGATGAGGCACTTGCGGCAAGCTTCCTCAGAATGAGGGGAGGTCGTGAGGGAACCAGTTCGAGGGGACACGGCCGCAGAACCCGAACTGAAAACTCTGCTATTGGCC